TGGCACCGCCATTCTCTTCGAGGCGAAGCGTGAGATTTGAAATCGAGCTGCGAGAAATCAATTTTGGGGGGGTTTTGGTGTAACTGGTGGTTTTGTTAGGGTTTTACTTGAAAAGGGTTTGTGCTGTATCGTGATGTTGATTATTACACATGAAATTACATTATGTTGATTATTTAGTTCTTAGTCCCTTATATGTTTGTAATGCCATAGTAGGCCCTCAAACTTATAATAAGTTTCTTATAAAAGCAGCTTGTAGTAGCAACTTATATAAGCTGTTGAAACAAGCCGTTTGGTAATCAAATATAAAAATCACCTTAGTTGTAAAAGCAGCTTGAAGTAGTAACTTATATAAGCTGCTCATTGTTAAAGAAAAAAAATCTATATATGGTGTATGAACTTAAAAATAACATAAGCTGCTTCTAAAAGTATCCTCGCTTCTAAAAACACTCCCTTAAAAAAATAGAAGCAAATTCAATAAGTATACCAAAATATTTTTCACCAAACATCATTATTAGCTGCTTATTAAAAAAAATAAACAGAAGCACCCCTATAAAAGCAATAGTAAATTGGGCCGGGTTCAGATGTTAGAAGAGAGAGGCGAGGGTATTCTGGCCACTGAGACACCAAAATTGCAATATCCTTAAGATTTGAGCGACTGATGAGCGATTTTTAGGACTCGAGAGACTAATGTGGAATTATTGAAGATCTAAGGAACTAAAATCTAGATAGCCCTAGATTAAATGATGTTAAGTAGGGCTTAGAATGAGTTTAGTTTAGTCTTATTATCACTCTGCTACCCATAGTTTAGCCAATTTTCTACTTTCAAACCCAAAGTTATATTTCTAACACTTCGATACCTCAAACTTTAAATCTTATTTTAATTTGTTAAATCTCGTCCAAGTTTCATTAGATTTCCTATTGAATTTGTATCACGTGTACTTAGCGCTTGATCCTCACAAAAGTATCAAAGCGAAATTACTTGAAGCTTTTATACCAAAGTGTTAAAAGAATACTTTGGTATATCAAAATGAAATTCGGCAAACTTTTGGGGTACGAAAGTGAAAATAAGCTTTTTGTTTTTAACTTTCAATTTTTATTACTCCTCGGGTCCGAATAAGATAGAAGTATCCGACCCACAAATGTCCAGACCCGACCCAAATCCATCCCAAGGCAGCTATCAAAGAGCAGGCACAGTTTGGGGCTTATAAAGGCTATCCAATTCCATTTCAACAAAAATATCGACTAAAAATCTACGTAGCCTGATAAAATCGCCACAAAAATTCGAAGAAAGAAACTTCAAAATTCCCAAGCATCAGCCAAAGGTTCTCAAAGATCTCTTCTTTCGCTTCTCTGTATCCAACACTGAAGGTAAAAGCAAGCCCACATATCTTTTTTTTTTCCTTCAATTTTATTTCCTTGTCAATGTGAGCACAAAAGCTGAATCAAAGAGGAGCAAAAACTGTTGCTTTGTTTGTTTGCCTTGATGAGTGTCAACATGGTAGACCTCTGCTCCTCTGGAGTTCTCTGTAGCAGTCCAGTGAATTACAGAACCAATGGCAAGAGAGCTGTTTCTTTTGATTTGGGCAATTGTAGAAGGCAGGGGTTTGAAAATTTGAAGGTTTTCTCGTCTGGGTTTCTTGTGTATCGCCAAAATCACAAGAAAAAACATGTGGGTGTTTGGGTGTTTAGTGTAAAATGTAGCATTGATGCCGATTTATCAAGAAGTTGGGTCAGTTCAGATAATGTGGTGGATGTTCTCAAGTCCAGTGATGACCCAACTGAGGCAATGGATCTCTTTAAATCCATCGCACAACAGTCCGAGATTGTACACACGACCCATTCGTTCAATTATATGCTTGAGTTCTTGAGGAATCATGGTAGGATAGAAGACATGGCTGTTGTGTTTGATTTAATGCAGAAGCAAATTGTGAAGAAGAACGCGAATACCTTTTTGACGATATTTAAGGGACTTGGTGTCCGCGGTGGCCTTAGAAGTGCTCCCTTCGCATTATCAAGGATGAGAGAAGCTGGTTTTTTGTTGAATGCATTTTCGTACAATGGGCTGATTCATTTTTTGCTGCAGTCGGGGTTTTATAGAGAGGCCATGGAAGTGTATAAAAGAATGGTATCAGAAGGGGTAAAGCCTAGTTTAAAGACATATTCAGCATTGATGGTCGCATCGGGAAAGAGGAAAAAGACTGAATCTGTGATGGGCCTTTTGAGAGAGATGGAGTCTTTAGGGTTGAAGCCCAATGTTTACACCTTCACTATTTGCATTAGAGTACTCGGGCAAGCTGGGAAGTTTGATGAGGCTTACGGGCTTCTGAGGAGAATGGAAGAAGAGGGGTGTCAGCCTGATGTTGTGACTTACACTGTGTTAATAGGAGTTCTATGTGAAGCGGGGAGACTTGATAAAGCCCAGGAATTGTTTTCCCAGATGAAATCTAGTGATCAGAAGCCGGATAGAGTCACTTACATCACATTGCTGGATCAATTTGGTGATGTTGGCAATTTGAAATTGGTGATGGAGTTCTGGGAAGCGATGGAATCTGATGGTTATGCTGCTGATGTGGTTGTCTTTACTATAATCATAAAGGCTTTGTGTAAAGAAGGGAAGATTGAAGAGGCTTGGGAGATGTTAGAAACTATGGGGAGTAAGGGAATTTCACCTAATCTTCACACATACAACACATTGATTGGTGGGCTTCTTAGAGCAAACAGATTGGAGAAAGCTCAAGAGATTTTCGGCCATATGGAAGTTCAAGGTCCGAAGCCAACTGCTTACACTTTCATACTTTTCATTGACTACTATGGGAAATCTGGTGAATTTGAGAAAGCTTTTCAAGCATATGAAAGTATGAAGATCCAGGGGGTTGTTCCTGATATTGTTGCTTTCAATTCTTGTTTGTATGGTCTTGCTGAGTCCGGTCAGCTTGTACAAGCAAAAGAAGTCTTTTATGAACTAAAAGCTACTGGCCTTTCTCCTGATTCTATCACATATAACATGATGATCAAATGCTACAATAAGGCTGGGAAAGCTGATGAAGCTGTTAAGATGTTTGATGAAATGATGGAGAGTGGCTGTGAACCAGATGAAATTACGGTCAATTCACTTATCGATACACTCTATAAGGCAGGTAGAGAGGAGGAAGCTTGGAGAATGTTTGATAAAATGAAGAAAATGAATCTTAAGCCAACTGTTGTAACTTATAACACACTCTTGGCTGGTTTAGGTAGTGAGGGGAAAATTCAGAAGGCATTCAAATTGTTCGAAGAAATGGGTTATTTTAATTGTCCTCCGAATACAGTAACATACAACACTTTGCTGCATTATCTATGTGGAGTTGGTGATGTTGATAAAGCCTTTGATATGCTTTATGAAATGAGTGAAAGGAACTGTACGCCTGATCTTTTATCTTACAACACTGTGATATATGGTTTCATTAAAGAGGGTAGAATTAATGAAGCATTGTGGCTCTTTCATCAGATGAGCAAAGTTTTTGCTCCTGATTTTGTGACTTTGTGCAGTATCCTTCCTGGTTTTGTGAAGAATGGTTTGGTAGAAGAGGCTCTACGAATTGCCTGCAAATATAATCTTCAGCCTGTTGCTCAAATTGATAGGTTTGCGTGGGAATCTTTGATGGAAGGGATAGTACGTGAAGCTGGAGTTGATCTCTCTGTTACATTTGCTGCAAAAGCTGCTATAAATGGCATTTTCCCAAATGACTTCTTATTATGCTCTCTAATTAAGCATCTCTGCAAGAATAAGAAAGCTCTTGATGCTTACCGTCTCTTTGAGAAGTTCAAGGGATACGGAGTTAGACCAACTCTTGAAGCATATAATCCTCTTATCGATGGGCTACTCGATAACAAGTCCATAGAAACCGCGCTTCTGCTTTTTGAAGAGATGAAAAGGATGGGATGTACTCCTGATATTTTCACCTATAATGCTTTGCTTGATGCTCTAGGGAAATCGAAGAGGGCAACGGAAATGTTGGATTTGCATGAAGAGATGCACTCTAAAGGATGCAAACATAATAGCATAACCTATAATATACTCATCTCAGGCCTCGTCAAATCTAACAGATTGGAGCAGGCGGTAGACTTGTATTATGATCTAATGAGCAGAGATATCTCTCCTACACCGTGTACTTATGGTCCTCTAATAGATGGGCTTCTGAAATCAGGGGAAATGAACAAAGCAGAAGAACTCTTTAATGAGATGGTTGAATATGGATGTAGACCGAATTGCGCTATATATAACATCCTCATAAATGGATTTGGAAAGGCTGGAGATGTGGATAAGGCTTTTAAGTTGTTTGAAAAGATGGTTAGGGAGGGAATTAGACCGGATGTGAAGTCTTATACCATTCTTATCGATACCCTTTGCATAATTGACCGGGTAGATGATGCTCTCTGTTATTTTGAGGAGATGATAGCAGCGGGAGTTGAACCTGACTTATATGCTTACAACTTTATGATCAACGGCCTTGGAAAGTCTCAAAGATTAGACGAAGCGATGGCTCTTTTCGAAGAAATGAAGGTTAAAGGGATTTCTCCAGACTTGTATACTTATAACTCTTTGATAATCCACTTTGGGAATGCAGGGATGGTTGGTGAAGCGGGAAAGATGTATGAAGAACTTCAACTAAAGGGCCTAAAACCGAATGTTTTTACTTATAATGCTCTCATTCGAGGGCATAGCAGATCAGGAGATAGTGATCATGCTTATGCTGTCTATAAAAGGATGATGGTTGGGGGTTGTAGCCCTAATATTGGGACTTTTGCACAACTTCCTAGTCGATGATGATTCATTGGGTGAGATTTTGTCTATATGGTTGTATATTACATCTTTTTTTGTTGAAATATGTCTCGTGGATGTACACTGACTATTCATTTATGTACATTTGTATCGGTTTTTAATGAAGTTAAAGCGAAATAGAACAGACCTCCTACCTCCAGTAACACTTTTCTTTTTGTAGATTTGTTTTTTCTTGAAAGTAAGCAATATTTTAAAATTACCTTGCTGGATTGTAGGATTGTGATGTTTTCGACCATAGGGACTTAATGCATTACATGGTTCCTACTGATTGACCGCATCAAAAGATTTTGCACAGGTTTTGTTGTCTAACATTTACTTTCTTTAGACACATTGCAGTTTGTTTTTTGTTATTATCCTCCGAACTTGCTTCTCAGAAATATTTAGATTTCTCTAATTAGTTGTGAGACCTTCGCTGATCTTTTCGAGGGCGCTGATGGATCTACAAATACCAATTGTTTCCGAAAAAGGAGGTCTCCCATGCACGTAATTATTTTTTTTTTCTTTCAACAAATAAGGAGTATCTGTTCTCTAATGAGGATCGCATCTCTTTTTTCCAGGTAAGTTGGTGCTGAGAGTTCATCGACTATTGCTCCGATCCACTTCTGTCATCCGACCGCAGCATTTTGGGACTCGTGATGCGACAACATCCCGTTATGCACTCTTAGTCAATGAATTTGCTTTGTCCTGGTTTGCTACCTCTACATTCAGACAAAACGCAACGAGAGTGTTTCAGAATAAACTCAGAGATGCAGATGCTGTTCTTTTTTTATATAACACCCCCTTACGCTATAGTACACGATCATCGCGAAGTGGCGTGCAATGTTGATTCAGAAATCCAGTTCTTGTTTGGATACAGTGTTGAGGCCTGATGTAGGGCACGCAAGGAAGAGAGAACTTCGTTGGATACTTTGATGGGCATGGAAAGGTCGCAAGGACTAGACAGTGTGCATGCATTTAATTTTGCACAAGAAACATAACATATAATTCGTATGGAAATTATGTCATCAATTATGAATATAGTGTACTGATGTTTTTTTTTCTCCCTAATTGGAGAGTTTCGAGTATTAGCTGTTGGGAATTTATCAAATAATTAATATTATAGCATGAATTAAATCCGAAATCAAAATAAATAAGAGATAAGAAAATCAAGCCTGAACGGGAGCAGTCGTGTAAACATTGCCCTAGAAGATTGAGAACCCGCCTATCGCCCTGGCGCAGATGGTTCCCTTTCCCTAGCGGTAAAAACCCCCGGAAACAGCCGGCCTCTACACTCGGGCGAGAGTGCAGAGCTTCAGCTCAGATGAATGAAGTTGCCCATAAAAAACTAAAATGTAGATGAAAATAATATGTAGGGGAGAGAAGAAAAACAAGAGAAACTTGTTGTATATTTTTCTTCTTATCATTTTGAGCTCAACATACGGATATATATATAGGGTTGGAAAAGACGTTACAAAACCCGTAATTAATTCCGTAACGTTCGTCATAAATTTTGTAACGTTCCCCATAATTATATGGCCGTTACACATATTTTTAATTGCTAATTAAAACATGTTTTAATTATAAAACTTTTTTACTATTCATGAAGGCAAAATTGTCTTTTCTTAACAAAATATCTAACAGTCCCCCCCAAAAGGCAATATTGACTGAAAACTCAGAAATCAATAAATAAATCAAGAATGATAAAACAAATATAGGTTGGGCAACCTTACGTATCGTGAATTCGGGAAAGGTAGCTTTCGGCTTTGAACCTTTCTTTAGTGTCATCGCCACCTGAGGAGGGACATAATGGACTAGGCCTTGAATTAGGCCCCTTTAATCAGGTATTGATGAAAACACACACAATACGCTTCATCTATTGAGCAAAGCGGGTTGAGCGTTAAAGGTCATGCTCACAATAAACCGACTCATGAGAGTTTCTAGGGGTTAGCCCAGCCCCCCCTAACCGCGGCCATCACGGTTCCTCTCACGTAGGTAAGTCCTCAAAGGGTACTACAGCTGTTTATTTAATACCCCCCACAATACACGCGTTGGACTTATTAAGAGTAAAACTCAGCCTAGCCAGCTGTATCATAAGAGCATCGTCATCATAGAGAAGGGGTAGTAGCAAATGCTACATAATGATATATAAATATATCTAGGTCGATGCTCCACACGAGAGTCACTTGTCCAGCTTGTTTCTACCACATTGAACCGACATTGGGACTACGTCTCCAAATAAGGGTTGGGTTGCCGCTGTCAGTGACCTCATCTATGGGCTTAACCCCATCTCCCTCGATGAATCCAGAACCACACTCCTGGATAATCCCTTAGTCAAAGGGTCATCAAGATTCTTTTCACAGACTTTACAAAGTCTAGAATCATAACTTTGCCTAGCAGGCGTTGTATTTATTTATCAAGTTCTTATTTTGTAATTAGTCCATCATATTGTTTGAAATTGACATTAGGTCATGATCTATGATCATAAAAGATCATAGTCTATGTCTGAAGAGATTGACCTTAATATCTGAACATTTCAAACTAATGTGGAACTAAAAATTCTGCAGTTATGCATATGCACATACATGAATGAAATTAATAATAGATACATGCAGAGCATAATAGGATTTCGTATCTTAAAATATATTTTCGTATCTTAAAATACATTTCATACTTCATAATTCAAATGCATAAAATTTTTAAAATTCTTCTATTATAAGAGGTTACAAATTGGTTGCCTACAAAGGAGACCGTCCAAATTTAAATCGGTTGCCTACAAATGAGACCTTCCAAATTTAAATTGGTTGTCTACAAAGGAGACCTTCCAAATTTATGTTGCCATTTTCTAGTACCACCTCTTATACAAATAATAATAATAATAATATTTGTACATACGTGCTTTAAATTTTACAAGTGCATTCTTGCATAAAACCTTGTAATTAATCATGTAAAAAATGCAAGTTATCTAAAAAGATATATGAGCATTTATTGCAATATTCATCAAAATGCAATAAAAATGATGAACTTTACATTTGAAGATTTGAAATATAATCCACCATATAAAATAGAATTTTAAAAAATGCTCCTCTTTGATTTGGTTCGCTCATATATTGATCATTTATCATTAGGCAATATATGATGCAAGAAGCGTAATTAAATAAATGCATATGAATTTTTTTTTTTCATAATTCCGGTCCTCTTATTCCAAACCAAAAACTCCTAAAGTGAAAAGATTAAAGTTTTACCCGGGTAGTTAGCCAGGTAAGGATAGTAATAGAGGTTGATCAAGGATCAATTAAGTACCTCGTTCCTTGCAGAGCGCATTACGCAACCCTTAAACCTTGCCTTAGACACCAACTAATCCAAGAAAACTTGAATCGGTTCACTCAATGAGTTTTTGTTTCTTAACAGTATATAGAAACTTTAAATTATTTCCTGTTAGCATTTAATTTGCCTAGCAACTATACTGCAAACATATGATGTATAAGGCCGAGGAGGGGTTTACCTATTGATGTTCGAACCTCATGATTTTCATGTCGTGAGAGCAAAACCCGTCTATAAAGCTTACACATTAAAGAGGATTAATGAAAATAAGCATTTAACAACTCAAATTAATCAGCAATAAACATGTGCAATTAATCACAGAGATAATCTTTACTTTTAAAGATCTAAAATATAATTCACCATATAAAATAAAATTAAAAGATGCATAGCTTGCAAGATGATATTAGAGATCTAGTTGTCTGTATTTTTCTATAACTGAAGTTATATTATATGAAGATCTTTCCAAGTAACTGATTGTTTCTTTCAATCAATCAATGCATGTAAGAGTAGCACTGTGGCTGTCAGAAGTATTACTATGCAAGGCTTGTTGGTTATTTGTCACGCTCATTATGAGTTCCAGCATACCACATGAAAAACCTTGGCAATGATAATAATACACTTGTATCAGATACATAATCATGACATGGTGGACATTTATATCTTTCAAAGTAATTAGCCAAGGTGTGTCTACTATTTGGTGTCAATTGACATATTAATTTATAAACCTCATGTATAGGACACAAGCGTTGCATAGCAAGCTAGATTAATTACTAGTCAAGAATAATTAATAGCAATTAATCAATTACATTAACTAATTAATTTTAGCAATTAATTATTATAATTGTCCGATAAACAGTAATGAATACTAACGGACATCCCAAATTAATTTTCAGTGAACAGTAATTCATATTTTTTATGATAAACAGTAAATTTTTGATTAATTGTCGCAATTAAACAAATGCTGTAATTAAAAAAAACACTACAATTAACAGAAATTCGGATGAATAGGATCCCCCCTAACGAACAGTAACTTCCGAATGAACAGTAACTTTTTTTATTTTTATTTATTTTATTTTATTATAACTTTCGGATTTAAAACAAAAGCTATAAACTCTCAATCTTCTAGATTGTTGGGAATTTATCAAATAATTAATATTATAGCATGAATTAAATCCAAAATCAAAATAAATAAGAGATAAGAAAATCAAGCCTGAACGGGAGCCGCCCTGACGCAGATGGTTCCCTTCCCCTAGCGGTAAAAACCCCCGGAAACGGCCGGCCTCTACACTCGGGCGAGAGTGCAGAGCAGCTTCAGCTCAGATGAATGAAGTTGCCCATAAAAAACTAAAATGTAGATGAAAATAATATGTAGGGGAGAGAAGAAAAACAAGAGAAACTTGTTGTATATTTTTTTTCTTATCATTTTGAGCTCAACATACAGATATATATATAGGGTTGGAAAAGACGTTATAAAACCCGTAATTAATTCCGTAACGTTCGTCATAAATTTTGTAACGTTCCCCATAATTATATGGCCGTTACACATATTTTTAATTGCTAATTAAAACATGTTTTAATTATAAAACTTTATTACTATTCATGAAGGCAAAATTGTCTTTTCTTAACAAAATATCTAACATTAGCCACCAATTTAAGTAACATTGGTTCATACAGAATCAAGCTTTAGCAAAGAAGCCTTTGTTTGGTTTTATGAGTCTCCAGATTTCATATAGATTTTGTCCATGCAGTTGAGCTGTTGAGGCATCTTTTTTTTTTTTTTTTTTTTTTTTTTAAGTCGTTGGATGGACTTTGCGGATATCGATTTTTGCCTATTGAATTTACAGTTGATGATTTGCAATGCAATTCCAAATTATAAAAAATTATCCATTAATCCATGTTAATCGAACGATGACCACATTACTATCCTTCAATAGAAAAGTCACGACGAAAGCTGCTAATTAGGCTACTAATTAGTCAGGGTTGGCAACCCCGAATAATTAGTACCGTAATTAGCTAAAAATGAGTCAATTTCTATAATTAAAAGTGAATGGGGTCGATTTCTTAAAAAAAAAAAAAATTTCCGTTGAGACTATTTTGAAAATTTCTTCCATAATCATGGAAACATCGTAACCAACATAAGAAACATCCGACCCGGTTCAGTACGTGAACCGGCCCAAAGATTCAACAGTTCCTACAAAAATATAGCTCTCTCCTCTATCCTCGCCGCCTCTCTCTCTCTCTCTCTCTCTCTAGAATCCAATGGCCTCAACATTGAGAACTCCTGTACTTCTTCTACCCTCTTCAAGATTGAGCCCATCTCCCGTTGAGAGCCCAAGAGCTCTTGTAAGTTTCTCTTCCACTAAGCAATGTGCTCTTCAGCTCAAGGTCTCTCGTTTGCCTGTGAAGCAGTCTCTTCGATTTCCAACCTTTGTGCCCTTCTCTGCTTCTGGGGAGACTGCAGATACCAAAGAGGCGGATGAAGTGATAGCAGGGGTATTATTTTTTTGCTTAACTTGTTTTGTGTTCTTCATGGGTTTTGGCGAAAACCCATCTGCAGATAAGATGTTTGTCGTTATGTCTGGATATATGTTTGGCCAACACAGTTTTGAAGTTCGTGTTATTAGGTGGGATCTGTTGTAGTTTTGAACAAATGGGTCTTTCGCAGTTTGGGTATTTGAAATACGTCATGCGTTCTGTTGAATTAGTGAGTGACTTCAATTGTTGGATTTGAATATTCGTTAGTAAATCAACATCTATCATGGATAAATTTTCACCATGGAACCTTTTTCATATGAGTTTGATAGTTATGATGTGCCAGATGACAAAATTAAGGAAAGCAACAGTATTTGCAACATGCTTTCTTTGCTACCTTTTGGAGGTGAAGTAGACGAATGATAAAACTAGTATCTAACTAAAGAGATTTTTGCTCAGGCTGTTAGTAGAATTGGGTCGCTTAGTTGATGTAGGTTAAATGAAATTTTGTTAGGATTGGCAAAATTTTCTTCTGATGAAGTGTGTTGAATCCAATTCAAACCTAATGTGTGATTGTTTAATTTTGAATTCTAATCTCACCAAATTATGGTTCCTAATTGATTTGAGCCTTTGTTTATTGGTTTTCCACAGCTCTTCCAATTCCAATCTAAGCCATAACTTGAACTTTTGTCTATTAAGTTTGAAAAATGGCTCTGAGTATCAGCATTCATATTTTTGATAAATAATTTCTGGCTTGCCTCCTTATGTTGGATGTTGTCATCTGGCTCATCTCTTCCCCGCTATTCATTTCAGATGTGTGCATATTTTTAAAATTACAGATACAAATTTGCTTGAAATAGACATTGAGCAAGTTAAATTTTCTGAAGTTATGCACATCAACCACATAGCTGAAGTTCTTTATCATGTTTTTATCATTTCTGACAATTGGTTTAATATTCCGGGCTACATGTTTATACATGCCCCCTTTAACCTCTGATGCAATGGGCATATTTGCTATTTTAAACCTCCAAATGCCTAGATTCACCCAAAATATATGCTGGGACTCTTTCTATGCTAACTTTTGAATTTTGTTAATTGTTAATTAGTAATAATGGATAGCCTGCCATATAGGAAGAAGAAAACCGACATGCTGATGTTCTGTGTATGTATTAGGGCATGATGGGTAGCTAGTGACACACTTCTGTTAATAGTTTCAAGATCTTATCAAGTTTATACTCTCGAGTATGTGATCAGTCAGGGCATTTGAAAGTTGTATCAAATGTATTCTTCAGTTGATTATCTCAAAATGCTTTTGGTTTCTGGTGATGAGTATTTTTGTTTACATCCTTATATTTGTCATTGCTAATATGTCTTTGCCTCTTTACGTTAACAGGAAGATTCAGAAGATGAATCTTCTAAAGAGAATGCTGTAAATGGTGATGATATTGCCGAGACAGAAGGAAAAACAGCTTCACTTTTTATGGCGTCACTACAATCATATAAAGAAGCTTTGGCAAATGATGACCAATCTACAGTTGCAGAACTCGAGGCCTTTCTTCACTCAATTGAAGATGAGAAAAACTCTCTTGGGAACAAAATCTACAGTTGCAGAACTCGAGGCCTTTCTTCACTCAATTGAAGATGAGAAAAACTCTCTTGGGAACAAAGTTGCTGTTATTTCTGATGAGCTATCCTCTTCACTCAATTGAAGATGAGAAAAACTCTCTTGGGAACAAAGTTGCTGTTATTTCTGATGAGCTATCCGCTGAAAGGGATCGCGTCCTTAGAATTAGCGCAGACTTTGATAATTTCAGGAAGAGGACTGAGAGAGACCGCCTCTCTTTGATGGAGAAGGTGCAGGGAGAAGTCGTGGAAAGCTTGTTGCCTGTTCTCGATAATTTTGAGAGAGCTAAAACTCAAATCAAAGTGGAGACTCAGGGAGAAGAGAAGATAAATAACAGTTACCAGAGCATTAATAAGCAGTTTCATGAGATTCTCACCTCACTCGGGGTTGAAGCTGTCGAAACTGTTGGCACCCAATTTGATCCTCTTGTAAGTCCTTTCTAATGATCTCTTTTCTCATTTTGTCATCTTGACTAATTGAGAAGTCGGAGCGTTTCCAAAATAGGAAAAGGAAAGCTTAGTTTCTAAAGCAAATAACATGACTATATAATGAATGAAATTGCAAAGCCTAAGAATTAACTTGATTTTATTTTCCACAGGAAAACAATAAATGTCAAGTTATTCTGATGCTGTTTCTAGTAGTGCAGTAACATTTCATAAGAAAACGACTGCTTATTAATTCAATGAGACCTAGTACGGATGATGCTTTGTGTTGATTGAAACTTGATCTGTTTATTATCATCTAAAATGATTTAGTATGTGCTTAGACTTGTGAATTGTATCTAGCTTGTCCAAGCTGTGGTGTGAATTTATCCAGACATTGGTTCAGTGACTTCAATCCATGAGATCCCTCTGCATATGTTTGCACCTCTAAATTGGTGGAAAGTGGTCTCATATGTTTATTAACTTTAGTTCTAAGGTAACATCCTATGAGTGGTTTTGATAGAGTTAAAATCCTACACTAACTCCCAAAATTTCAACACCCCACGCTTTAAAGTCTAATCCTGGTAGATTTTTCTCAAAGCCCAGAGTCTCAAGTGTCATTAACCCTGTGGCCTTCAATAAATGTTATGTTTCAAAAAAATTTGTTTCATGTCATTCCTGACTAACCAAACAGTCACTTAGGATACCAAATAACTTAGGAACTTATTGCATCCTGTACAAAAACTGGTCCCATATTACAGTTTTGTAGAAACCAGAGTTGAAGCCCGCCACCTTAAATAAGCATTATCATATTATAGAACATAAAGGTTCATCAAAAGCGATTCGAGGAATTTTTGCTTACCTGTCATTGCTGTCAACATAAAGCGATTCATGTCCGTGAAATGTTCACACTTACCATGTCCCTGTATATTGATTCATCACCATTTTTCACTGAAGACAAAGCGAAATTGTTAACTAAGATTATCATTAAAAGTAGCTTGCAATATCTTTTGCCCGAACACACACCATTTTTCTAAGTATCCTCGACATGGCCCAATATATATTGCTTTCTGCAAATGATGGTCTCTAAATATCATTTACCGCTTTTTGGAAATCTTGGGTGATATATCGCTGACATGGCCAAGATATTAACCGATATGTTGGCAGGTATATTCTTTTATATGGCTTGTTGCAAAATAATACGCTGCTTGCAATTTTCGGGCGATTTATCATGATTTTCCCAATATATCAAGTTATATTTTGGCCTAAAAGATCGAACAAAATGTTGCAATGTTGATTTGTACATATATATTTTTACATGGTTGATTAATGATCCTAAACACACATTATCTTCATTTTGTATACTTAAATTTCATTAAGTATGTTGAGATTATATTTTAGTACATTATACTATATATCCAAACATCCGTTATAGCATTCCAATATTTATCACATATCCTCGTTATTTCCCCAATATCCGCAATCCGATATGAACTTTGGCCTTTCATCCGATTATTTAAAACTTGACACACACACACACATTTTTGGGTAGCAAAACCGACATGAGGTTAATCCTCACACTACTATTACTCCCGTGAGGGATTGACTCATGGGCTCGTTGAGATGAAGGGACATTAATATTGAGATTGATATCATTTGGTACACCATTAATGCTATGGACGCGCCCACTGGATTCTTTCTCTACTCGTCTTGGTACTTGTATTTCTATAAGAAAATTAATGCTATTAGGTTATTCTATAAGTATATTCTATTGATGCTTCGTAATTTCTTATGTGAAATTATGCCTCAAAGTTAAACTCTTTATATACATGTTTCGTTTGTTGTAAAAGCTTCACGAAGCAATAATGCGAGAAGACTCAGCAGAGTATGAAGAGGGCATTATAGTTCAAGAATTTCGGAAGGGTTTCAAGCTCGGTGAGAGACTGCTCCGGCCATCAATGGTGAAAGTATCGGCTGGGCCTGGGCCTGATAAGTCTGATGAGGATCCAATTCCTCCTGCAGATGAGGGAATATCTCCTGTAGTCAAAGAAGAGATTTCAGATTTCGACGAAAGTGTTGATAGTTCAGATTCCGACTAACTTACATTAGTTTTTGCTTCAGCTTATGAGTCGAACAAATATTTTTTCCAAGAGCAGCTGCTGCAGAGATCGAAAGGTTTAGACTTGGGTTTGTAATTTTTTAAGTTATAATTATTTTTTGTAAGAGATGACACTTATATTGCTTAGACAGTGGACAAGATCAGATCTATAGTTCTCATAATTGATATAATGTTATGTTCATGTTATGATCTACCCTCATACTTGCTTTTTATTTTTCCTGTTTAATTTATGAATGATGAATTTGTAGCAAGTTCAGGGAATAAAAACATTGAAGGAGAAACTTGTCCACTTTATCATATTCCTTCTTTTCTTGATACTGTGGCAGTATTATTATTCATTAAACCCAAAATACAAACAACATAAACAGTGCAAACAAAGACAAGATCAAAGTGCATTCTCAACCCCTATACTTAGCTACATACCCATTCCAGAGCTCATCAACACTCATCCCACTATACTCCTTAAAAAACTCAACATCATATCCAAACCTCATCTTAGAATTCAAAAAACTCACAATCCCTCCATACTCACCATCACAGTACTCAAGAAACCGAGCAGTGACATCATAACCCTCATCCCATCGTACCCCTTGGCCGGACTTTGCCCACATCGCGGTCGCATACCCCGCCTTCAACCGGAAAAAATCCGCTATCCCCGTCAGCAACCCGATCGGAGCCTGCCCCTGCCCATCCCATTGCAAAACACGTGCAATCATGTAGTACACAATTCCGGTGAACTCTCTCTTAACATCACCTGAAAAGTTGATAATACAATGATTAATGTTTATCTACAATTACCGGGACATTTTGGTTAACTTGGAAGGCGCAGAATCAATGAATCTTTAATAGTCGATTCGGTTATTTGGAAGGAGGAACAAAATATGTTCATGAAGCCTCTCCCTTAACATCACCTAAAAACATTACCTGTAAAGTTTCCAATGTAGTCTGAACTTATGTAGATGACATTGTAAGCACTGGCGCAGACTCCGTTCATGCTGTCGATTGTTAAATATATGGCGTCGAAGT